CTTTTCTGCAATTATGGGTTGCAGGAAAGAAAATCGCTTGATTCTCCCATTAACACTAATTAACAGCACTATTGTGTTCTGCCTGCAGGAGGCCTTCCTTGAAGGCAGAACATGATTACTGCTGGTGGCTATAGCCACCGGCAGTAGTCGCATGCAAAATAATCCAACAGGCTGGCTGTGCTGAAGACGTTTGATGAATCAACTTCAGTGCAACCAGCCTGTCCATAGATGGATCACATCTCGGCCAGTCCCTGCTGAACTGGCCAAAATTCGATCCATCTATGGCTGGCTTTAACCATCCATACATTGAGAGTTGTTGGAAAACAGAGTTTTCAGAGCAAATACTATATGTCTGGACCATGCAGGTGTCAATGACACAGGATACATACAGTATTTTTGTGCGTGGAGTGGTGCAGGCATTGTATAGCTGAATCATTAGGTTACTTCAGGGGTTGGCAACCAGTAGATCTTCACCAGGTGACTGGTAGATCATGGTCTGGGCTTGCTGACCTGCCATCCCAGAACATTAAACAGAGTGCAACACAGAGGGACTACTTGTAGAGTTCGAGTTGTAGTAGGGAGCAAGAGCCATATAAGTTGATGCCTCCTTTGTAGTGCTGGCTCCTACACCCTGTCATGGTTGGTGGGGTTATGTATCTGTCAAGCATGACCCATTCAAGTGAATTAGGTGGCTCTGCAAATGTCCTGCAACTTTGTGCAGTACAGCAAACAAGGGGTAAAACAGGTAGCGGTGTGTTGCTTTCTCACCACCTGCTTTAACCCCTTGGACCCCACAGAAGTTTGCAGTTGGACTTGCAAAGTGGCCCCATTTACTTGACTAGGTCTTGATTGATAGGCAGTAGCACCCACCAAAAGCAACATGGGGGTATTTCCTGTGGCGGCATGTGTACACTTTTGGCTGCTACCTCAGCAGCTAAAGGGGGTAGGGATTGGGGGTGGTGAAAAAGCGACTCAACCTCAGAGTTTTGCCACCCCCCAACTCTTTACATGTAAATGAGCCCTAAGAGTGCTGCTGCCAGGTGCAACTAAGGGCTCATTCACAGGTGCAGCAGGCACTGCTGCTGCTCTGCAAAGTGATCCTAGTGTATTTGACAGGTGGTGAGGAGGTGATATGTTGCCTCCTCACCACCTGATTTAAACCCATCATTGCTGCGCAATGCATGCGAATGCAAAACGGTAGTATGGCAATTAGAGGTTTAAATCAAGTGTGAGGAGGCAACACTGTGCCCAGTGATCTTTGACTTCTCCCATGTTGTTCAGGTAAATCTCCACCTCTATAAGGTTGCCAACCCCTGGGTTACTTTTTTCAAATCCAATCCAAATGTGGCAAGTTTATTTAACTTGATTGAGGAGCTGGTTTGTATGCCCTCTCTATTTTACATATGTAAGGAGCAACAATTTAAAGACTTACTTTAAGAACAGATTTGCCTTACTGAAAATAGTCTTTATGAGTCTGCTATCACAAACAAAGTAAGGTGCATTTTAATTTAAGTCATTTTGTTTCCTTTTGACATGGTACTACCACCGTTCAAATCACTTCCACTGGCACCTCATAGCAAGCATTTCCAGGTTCCTTTGCTTTGAGAAGTTTCAGGACTTGAATCCCAAGCCCTGTTTCCTGGGCCAAGAGCCTGAACAAAAAAACCCAGTTGCTCATCACTGTTACCCACTTAGGCCATCCATAACAGTGATAGGCAAATAGGCTTAAAAGGCAGAGGGAGTGGGGCTAGGTTTTCAACCCCATAAGCTGGGTCAATATTCACACACAATAGTGGCCTAGAATTCAGGTGTCCCAGAAACACGGACATACTTCAGCTATGTGTGGGTTGGTGCCTGCTTGGTAGGGTTCACTTCAGATTTGCTGTAAATATGTGTACTTACAACTAAATTCCCTGTTTAGTATTTGCAGTAAAGTTGAATGTTGTATTGCAGATCCCTGTCCTACGCACAAACCAGTCTTTCTGACTCTAGTCTATTGTTTATATTCCCAGTGCTACTTAGGTAAACAGCATGAGAGAAGGGCTAAAATGGGACATTGGGTTGCAGGGTCTTACTTATACTAATCATTTTCTGTGGGGTAGCCTGACTTTGCATAAATATTTAGAAGGTAAGATAGAAGCAGCCTCAAAGTTGTAACTACATTGTCCACAGCTTGCTCAGTGCAAAAGTCAAGACTTTTTTGGGTAATATTTATACATACAGTTTTCTTGAACAATCTATGTTTATTGCATACCTTACATTTCAGTTGGAAGTACTCTCTCTAAATATTAAAAACAGAACTCCAAGCAAAATACAAAATTAATTTATAAATATGTCAAAAAAACAAAAGAAAAAAAAAAACAAATATTCATTGTCTGCTTTTTGATGTACCATTTTGAAGCAAACATTTCAGTATGGTCTTGGATGAGCAGCAAGATGTTAGCTTATCTTAGACAACATCTTTGCTTTTGTGGGTTGGGGAGCGTGTTCTATTCAGTACATGCTGTGCAATTTCGTCTACCAGTAAACCCTGCTCCACTAACCATTAATGGCTTGAACTGACCTTAGTGGTCATGATTTGTAAATGACAATCTGCAGCTTGTAGATAGTGCTGCAACTCACAAATGGGAAAGTAGCAGATGCACATACTGTGAGTTTATTGTTCATTTTACCTTGTCTGAAAATGCCCCTTAGTAATTCATCATAGTAGTTCATCATAATCACTATCCTTTTTAATGGTTTTAATAGTAATATAGACTATTAATGTTCAAGCATTGCTACAGGAAAAAATGTGCTGAAATATTTAGTAAGTCAGGCCATAGACTAATTGAAAATTTAATGTTCTGTCAATCGAAAAATGGAAATGGCGCATACGGTTCTGCCATAATTTGTTTTGTTTTTCAAAACAAAATCCAGCATATTGGATCAGGCACCCTCGATTGCAACACGAAAAATTGTGTGTTGCAGGTAACACACAAATGATGCGAAAAACGAACGACCAAGAATTTTCCTTCTGTTTTCAAATGGTATATGGCCTGCCTAAGGAATGGTGATATACAAACATTAGAAAATAATTCTAAACAGGATGTAGGTTTTAAGTGAACAATTATTACAAAAGACTTTTTGCCCATGTTTAAAGATTTCCTTAAAAGTCCTATTTAAAGACCCCATAATAGAAATAGTAATTTTTTTTTTTTTTTTTTACTCATTTGCAACTCAGGTGTTGGAATCTATTGCCACCAAGTTGCTCTTTTGGTAGCTGGATCTAATGATCAGGGTTGCAAAAGCAAGTATAATTAGACTGCCATCACCAGCTTTTAGCCTAAATAAAATATTTCAGAATAGTTGGATATCTACTTTAAGGGATGCTCTAAAAAAAAAGTTTGACTAATGCAATTGTCCAGGTCCTTATGTTTGTGGATTGCAGCACAACAGATGGCCAACCAGTCCATCTTAAAAGAATTACTGGATTGCTGGGTTGCATTTTTTCAGCTGAGTTCTGCTGTTTATGGCAAGATCTGGCAGGTGCCAGGGGTGTCTGGCTGGTCTCCCTAGTCACTCCTTGTTAGTCATTAACATGCATCCTTGTTCATCTAAGCATGCTGTGAGTGTTAATATTCGGTTTATTTAGGAAAAAAATCAATTTCTCTATGCCCGACTGACATCTACTGTTTGTTGCTGGTTTAAGAAGAAACTTTCTTCTTTTCCTCTAATCATCATTATTGTATTGTAAAATGTATTTCACAGAATAGCTTAATCCTTTGACTGCCACAGAAGCTTGTTATTTATTAAAATTGTTTTTTATTCTAGACATACATAGACCTACATGTCCAACCTATTGCCTGTCATATAATAAATTGACTAGTAAGGCCTCATTCACATAGGGGTATTTAAGAGTACTCTCATGTGAGGGCTGTTTTTGCCTGCATGAAGAAGCACACGTAATCCATGCATCCTTGTTTAGGAAGTCCAATTCATGTGAGTTGGGATGCAGTGGCTGCATGGGCCCAGCCACAACTCCCAATCTGACATCTATGTGCGTGCGAGTCTCAAAATTCACACTGTCTGCATTTGAGGACCCACACTGATGTCAAATTAGGAGCATCTGTCCCTTGCAGATCCCTCTTTACCAGTGCCCCCAATAGCAAGCCGCTTTCTATGGGGGCACTGGTGCATGCTTGCTCCTGAGCCCTGCTCTATGTGTCCATAGACACACAGAGCCACGGCTCAGCCCGCTCCCTGCTCTCTCCTCATTGGCTCACTGTGATTGACAGCAGTGGGAGCCAGTGACTCCCAGCCAGTAAGGAGTGAGGGACCCAGGATAACCGAGGCTCCCATACACATCACTGGATTGAGAGGAGGTTTGGGTAAGGATTGGGGGGGTCTGTAGGGGGAGCAGCACCCAGGAGGTTTTTTTTTTTTTACCTTTGTGCTTAGAATGCACGAAGGTAAAAACACCTTCAGCCTTTACAACCACTTTAAGTCATATATACATCAGGAAAGCCAGAATAATGTCATGAGTCCTTACCTACATATTTATTCTCCATGAGTCAAAATATTGAAGTATGCATGTCAGCAGGATAGGAACCCAGCATTTGCAGAAGAAGATATCAGTAATGGTAGCTTCCATGTTTCTCTCAGTAAAGGTTTCCTTTAAATCTTTGTGGACTGACATAGCAGACAGAATGCAGAGTTTGCTATTCCCTCTTGCTTGGTTCAGAGCAGGACGTGATGAATGACAAATTAATGTACTGAACTGTAATGGGATGTTCTATGATTAGTCCATTGAGTCTAAGGGAAAAAAGTAATCTGCGATCCCCCAGCACCCTGGCTGAGAGGGGCTGTAAGAGACACGGAGGGATACTAGCTTATCATGCCAGTAATTTGAATTGCAATGGATCCTGCCAGCCAGTGCCTCACAATGAAATATAAATAATTTTATATAATGTTTTTCTCCATAATAATAAGCATAAATGTATCTTTTGTGTTTCTGTTTACAGGCAGTTTGAAATGGTAGTACCAACAGAAGATGCAGTCATCACAGAGATGACGTCCACACTCAGAGACTGGGGCACTATGTGGAAACAGCTATATGTGGTAAGAGTATGAGAAGTAAAAGAAGAAAAAAAAATGGTCACCATTTGTAATTTTTGGGGCTTGATATTTCCATTACTTACCTTGACCACTAGTGTAATTATTGTTTCACATGAAAATCAACTTTTTTTCTAAATTTGTTTTTAATTTTATTTATTTTAGCTTTCAGGCTGTACATTTGCCATGCTTCATTTACTAAAATTTGTAGTGTCTTGTAAAAAGACACCACTGAGAAAAGTAGACAACGCAGGCTATTGGACAAGAGATATAGTGAAAATACGTTACCCTTTTCCTATAAGTAGCGCTACTCCTGAAGGAGCTGCAGGAATACTGTCCAAGTCCTTCCCAAATACTTTGCCTTGCAGTCAGGCACATAGGCTCATTCACTCCTTTCTCCAATAATCAGCCTAGGGGTGTTTTTATTGTTTTTATTTCTTTGAAGAATAGGAATAGGGGTGAGAGAGATCAGTGGAATACTCCAGATTGGAAACTATGTACACTGAGGACTTTGTCTAATCTTTCAGAACAAGCTATATCCTTGAGTCCATGCTTGAATCAAACAGTGGACTTCAGCTTTAAGCAGTAGCAACAAGTAGTAACTTCTTTAATGCTCCAGAGCAGTGCCCCTCTCAACCTCTTCACGCTGGCCGAATGCAAATGTGCGGCATCCCGGCGTCTGGGCCTAGACGCCGAGCTGCGCACATTTGCGTTCTATTAAAAAATTACATATGTGCCGAGAGCGCTCGCCCCGCGTGCTCCCAGCACACATGTCCGTTACTCACAGCGGTCACATGACCCTAAACCCTGCCTTCTGAAACTCTCTTTTAAGCCCGGGAGGTGCCAGCGTGAAGGGGTTAAGTAGTAGTGGACAAATTTCTTTGAACACCAGCCAGTATTCCCTTTGATAAACCCACTGCTGACTTCCTAGCACCAGAGGGGATTAAATAGCACACAGTTTCTAAGATCCTTAGGGATGTCTGTCCTCGCAAGGCCCAAGAGCAACTGAACACCTTCCTCCATGATACCAAACCAGATCTTCAGGAGACAGCCACTCAGTCAGCAAAGCAGAACCTGATTCTTCAGCAATTCAGGCCATCAGGTTGCCCACCTGAGGCCTTCGGCAGCAGCTGCCTGGGAAGGCAACGTGCCCTCTCCTAGGCTTGGGCAATGCTAGCCAGAAAAAACCAAGAGCCCGTGTGCTCACTGAATATATAGAGTTACCCAGCATGCCTTAGAGCCTCTCTCACTGGGATAGGCTGAGGCTGTATCAATATTCATGCAGTGTCCTGGATACAGAGGAAGCTAGGCAGTCTAGCAGCACCTGAGTATACAGCACAGACTACACTAAATGATCACAGCTCACTCAGTACAGTGAGCTAACTATACTTTTACGTAGCAATAATTACAGCCACTCTGCCTACAGATAGGCAAATAGATTTACCTATCAGGAAGACATGTTTTAAGTTCTTGTGCAGCAGTGTAGGCCTGAGCACCACTCTGATATTACTCAGCACAATGCAAGTTCCAAGAAAGTCAGCAAAATGTCTGCTTTAGAAACCACTCCTGACTCTAAAGCTAGCCATGCACTAGTAGATTTAATTTGATGACTTGACAAGTGTCTTTCGAAGGTACTTCAAAATTTAATTTGCTTTAAACATTTGATTTTGGAATAAATGGACTTTACAGAACCAAAACACATTCACTGTTAAAGCGGATTTCCAGCCGTTTTTGTGTTTATTAAAAGTCAGCAACTACAAAAACTGTAGCTGCTGACTTTTAATAAACACACACTTACCTGTCCCAGGGTCTAGCGATGTGCTCACCCGCTCCATCCCTTCTCCCCTTCTCTCCTCCATGTCTCTGGCATCTCAACCGTGGGCACCAGGCTTGCGACTTCACAGCCTGGTGCCCACTGCACATGCGCGAGTCGCACTGCTCCTCCTGATTGGTCCAGCAGTCTTCTGGGACCTGTGACCATTCCCAGGAAATTGCAGGAGGAAGGAGGGGGGCGATCTTCCAGCTCATTTCACCGCGGTGAACTGAGCCGAAAGTGGGAGTGTGTACCTGTCAAAACCAGGTACACGCCAGCCCCTCCCCCCAAAAGGTACCAAATATGGCAGTGGAGGGGGGAGGAGCCAAACAAGTGGAGCTTCCACTTTTGGGTGGAACTCCGCTTTAAGAATTGTTCATGGAGAAAATATTTCCACCCTACATTGAATTTTCTCATCACTGTGGTCAAAATTGTTCATCAGACGATCAACAAAATTCTGTTCGTGTATGGCTTGCTTAAGTTTTCAAATTATGATTTGTATTGGCCATGTAATCTATGAAATAGCCATTTTATGTATTTGTTGGTAAGGCTCTGGATAAAAGGCATTATAGCTTGTTTGCCAATTCCTGAGGATAACTTGTGTATCGATCATGTCACTGTTCTTAAAGGAACTATTTGGTTGTCTTGAGTGGAGCACAGGTTTATTCAAAAGAATGGCTGTGCATCACCGTAAATGATGGTTATGCTAAATTAGAATTTTGTTGGAAGATTAGGTTTTTTCAACAAAAGTAATTGCCATTACTGATACTGCTATAAGGTTCTTTTTTCAATTCTGTTGGAGATTGCAGAGAAAAGTTTCCTGTACAGTCCTTATCAAATAAAATACTTGCACTGTGTTCAGAACAATCCAGGCTTTCTATTGAATTCCTGGAAATGTGTTAGGGGAAGAACAGTTCCTGAAAAAGGTAAATAAAACCTTTTATTAGCCTACGAGATAAATATCTTGCATTAATGTTAGGACTATTGTAATATGTTCTGTTATATATGCTTTTGTGAAGTAGTAATGGAATAGGTGTATGACTAGGCCTGGTGTAATAAAATTTGAACCTCCAGGCACCCAATGTACTTGGATGGTTAAAAATATGATGCCTGCAGCATTCATAAATAAGTGTACACAGTACTGTAGATGAAGAATGCTTATACCTGTTCTTACCAGCGACTTCAAAAGCAATAATACTTTTTTATGAACAAAATGCCCTTAACCCTATTGTGTTCAAAGCTTTCATAGCAAGAACATATTTTACAGTTTTGATCCGTTTACATAACAGCAAATGGTCGAACGTCATTGCAAATAAAACAAGGACAAAGATAAAAGTATCCAGTTGGGTTTTTCCAGTACCTACAGTACTCTAGGGCCCTTTTGGGGTAGTATAAGATTACTTTGAGCTTTATTGGAGTTGACCTGTAGCCGCATGGGGCATGTATCTCGCTTGTAATCCTTAAACATCCCTGTAAGACTATATTTGTATGTTTGTGCAGTTTCTGCATATATTTTTTTTTGATAAGCAGACAAACTTAACTGACAAAAAAGAGCACATTTATCTTGTTTTAATGCATAATTTAAATAATACCATTGCAAATATTTGACTAAAATATGTCTACCTATTCATCCTGATTTAAAAGGACCGCCAAATAAGTGAAGGTTTTTTTTTTTTATATGCTACTGGTATATGGGTAAGAATAAGTGTGCACATTTTTAGATTTCAAAGCATTAAGATTTATGCCATGCCATGCCACGCCTAGATTTCACTGGCTGTAGCTGAGCATATCTATTTATAAAAGTACACATCCCAGGGTATTCAAAGGGTGGTATATGCTCTGTTTCTTAACAATGTCACTGCAAAACACTTTTTTTTTTTTTTTTTTAAATAATTAATCATTTTAGAGGTAATTATTTTACATGCACACTATGCACTTATGTCTGTGGGCTGCAGTCATCATATTCAGGAAAGTATACGCCTAGTTTCTATGAAAGCTCAGTTATAACATAAGTGAAACTACACTGCATCTGAGCACCACGAACCAAAAATAAAATTTAAAGTGTAACTAAAGGCTCAATTGTTTTCTTTTTAGAATGACAAAGTTGTACTTCGTGCAATAGTTTTCCACAGAGCAGCCCCAATTCTCTTCTCGGGTCTCCCGCTGGCCCTTCTGACCCTTCCTCTCCCAGTTCAGTGCCTTCATAGCATAGCGGCTTGCACTGGTACGTACTCGCTCCCAAGCCGCTGCGCTGTGTGTCCACTTACACACCGGTCACGGCTCGGGCCCCACTCCTGCTCTCTCCTCATTGGCTTACTGGTTGTGATTGACAGCAGTGAGAGCCAATGGCTCGATGCTGTCTCAGCCAATGAGGAGGGGAGTGACCAGGCAGAGCAGCTGCTCTTCTGCATATTGCTGGATCGGGATGGGGCTCAGGTAAGTATTGAGGGGCTGGGGAGAGATGCTGCACATAGAAGTTTATTTTACCTTCATGCATAGAATGTATGAAGATAAAAAAGAACCTTGGGCCTTTTACAACCACTTTATTCCATTTTTAAAGTGTTCCTAAACCCAGGACCCTACATGCACTCTATCTGGTCTCCCACAGTACACAGAACATGGAAATGCAATTATTGTAGTAAATATAAACTGCTAAATACCTTTTCTCAAGAAATAAAAAAAAACCTCTCTAGCAATACACACTAAATAAGAGGAGGGGCAGAGAAGAAAGGATCAAACAGCCTTTTTACACAATGCAGAGGATTAACCCCTTAGGTTCCACAGTGAGTATAACCAGCATTATTTCCTGCATATACAGACTGATTTTACTGTTGTGGGTATAGTAACACTTTAATAGTCAAAGCAAACTTGCTCATCCATCAATGTCTCCATACTTTATTGTGCTGAAAAACACCCCTACCACTTCTGGCCATGCCTAGGCCTAAAAACATAGAAGTATCTGAATAAAAATAAAGTAAAACTTTCAAACAAGTAAATATGATATACTTCGCTATCGGTTTACGAATGCTAGCAGCATAATGAATAAAAAATAGTCATTGTTGATTAAGAGAGTGACACTCTGCTTTAAACTCTCAAGGTAGTTGGGCCATCTAGGGATTTTCTAGGCAGCAACAATGTGCACTTACAAACTAAAGTAGTTTTCATTATCACACATTTGTTAAGTATAATGTACTGGTGTTAGTATTAATGACTCTGGAGGTAGAAATGTCTCAAGAAAAGCTAATATTGCTGTTTTAAAATAGATCTAGTCATTGAGATTGATTGAAGTTGAAGTTTATTAATGAGATAGATATCCTAACCAGCCGTAAATTTGACGCTGACAGGCTTTGCATTCATTGAACTGTTTATTTCTCTTTTTCTGTTATAGAAGAATGAAGGTGATCTTTTCCATCGCCTCGGTCACATAATGAACGAGATCCTGGATCTGCGCAGACAAGTGCTAGTGGGGCACCTGACTCACGATCGAATGAATGATGTAAAACGACACATTACAGCCCGTCTGGATTGGGGAAATGAGTGGGTAACAGATAGTCAGCTCACTGCTGTTCAAATAATGCAATGGTGCTGCTGCAATAGCAGTTTAGTTCTTATACTTTATATAAAATTAGTTTGTCAGGTCTTAACTAGTCTTTTATTTATTTATTTATTTTTTGTATGTACAAAAACAGAAGATAATGTGAAACTTGTCTGTTGGAACTTGCAGTTATCAGGATATTTTTTCATCCAATTTTCTAATTGTGTGTACTTGGCATTACAGACCGTCATAGACCACATGACAAAGGATAATTTTTTGTCTGCACACAAGTCATAGGCGTGGAGTTAGCATATTGTCCGAGCCTACCTTAAATGAGAACTTTATTAAAAAAAAGCTGGGCTCTGCTTGGCAATCAGCAACTATTAAAACAATAAACATCTTGGCGAGTATGTAACATACATCCATTATAGTTTATATAGTGCAGCAGTGAAGACTATATAACAATATGTAGATTGCAGAGGTCAGGAGTATGAATTATACAGCACAGCCTACAGAGTAAAGCAGTTAGGAGTTTGTAATACAGAGTGCAGCTATGCTAGTTCAACGCAATCTACAAAATGTAGTGATCTGGAGCAGTTAACATACAGTATGGCACGGCATAGAGAGCACAGTGGCCAGGAGTATGTAATGTACAGCAGTTAGGAGTATGTTACATACATCACAGTGTACATTGGTCAAATGTTTATAAGCACAGCAGAGTACAGTGGTCAGGAGTATGATAGTACAGCACAGTGTATAGGGGATCAGGAGTAGGCATTGTTTAACACATTGAACAGTGGTCATGGGTAGGTAGTATACAGCACAGTTTTCATAGTACAGCTGTTGGGGGTACTCCACCAGCATCAACCCAGCCCCCAACCCAGAACTTCCCCCTGTGGCATAATTTATTCCATCCCTGGGTCAGAATCCTGCTATCCTGTGACAGATTCTTCTAGATTTGAGCTGAACTAAGTTTGGCCCAAATGTTAGCTTTACCTTAATAAGACAGCATCTCAGAATTCTTGGTCAGTAGCCAAAACACTGGTACAGACAAGCCATAGATTATACAATTTTCCAGTGGTGGAAGGAAAGAAAATCACTCAATTCTGCCTCATCAATACAGTCAGTGTTGATGGGGGAATCCCCCCTGCAGTGGTCTTGTGTTCTGCTGAGGGGAAGCCTTTCCTGCTGGCAGAACACATTAATCACTGCTAGTGGCTATAGCCACCGGCGCTGATAGCATGTAAAAAAATCTGACAGGCTGGTTGTACTAAAGACGATCGCTGGATCGACTTCAGTACAACTAGCCTTCTCAAACATGGATTGAATCTCAGCCAAGATTCAATATATCTATGGGCCAGCTTTAGAGTGAGGACTTTATTCAAAGGCTCTGACTAAGCTCTTTTAAGTATGAAATGCATTAGAGTGTATTCTACAGCTCAAAGGAGCAGGGCCCCCGAACCCCTCGTGTATCGCATTGTATTGATACTGTACTGTCTCCCACTATAATGTACAGCGCTGAGCAAACTATTGGCGCTATATAAATACTGTATAATAATAATAATATTCTACCACTGACTATCTTCTGTAAGATGTCTTATTTATAATTGATTTGGTAAGCAGTAAGTTCTGAGAATGGATAATTGTTTTTCATAAAAAGGTTTGTTTGTGTTTAAGCTGTAATAAACCCCAAAACAAAAGTGGATTATATTGCGGTTTACTAATTCTTAGATGCTGTGGCTGCATTACCTTTCTCTTTTGGGCTTTTTTTCCCCTTTATTTTCTCCTTTTGATCCAGCCAGTCTTTTATTTTTGTAACTTTCATTAACAAACCAAACTGTCCAGCAAAAGTAGCAGTTAGAGGGTTGAGACCAACCATTGAACACTGACAGAGGTGCTCACAACATTCAGATTTTATTCATTTATGTAAAATCTTTATGCCAAAAGGGAAAGAAAAAAGACTGTTGCTGCAAATGCTTAAAAAGTGAAAGTTGGAGCTCACCTTTAATTTGTTTGTAAAGTCCATTTAAATCTGCTAGTGCATCTAACTCTGCCCTCTCTCCAACTGACAATGCTGTTGTACTAAGGTTTCTTCATTGCTCCTCCATCCATATAGAAAACCCCTCAAGACACAAAATATGGTACTGGCTGGATCACCAGGTGAAAATAACGGAAAAACAGCTGGAAAAAGAAAACTAATGCAACAAGCACATTTAGGGATTGATAAGCTATTTTTTTATTTAAACGGTATTAACCCAAAACAAAAAAATGTAATATAATGAAACTTACAAATCATTTGATGTAGTGGCTGCATTTAGTTTTCTTTTTTAGGCTTTTTTTCCCCCCCCTCTGTTTTCATCTGGTGATCTGGCCAGTAACACATCTCTTGTATTAATGTGCCCCCAGTCTGGATGAAGATGCAACGGAGACCTCTTTTGACAGCAGCATTGTCATTCTTGTGGAAGAGTAGTGTTAGATGTACTAGCAGATTCAGATGAACTAATAAATTAAAGGCTAGCACTTTTTAAGCATTTACATTTTCCTCTTTTAGGATAAAGGTTTTACATAAGTGAATAAAATATGAATATTGTGAGCACCTGTCTGTGTGGTTTGTCAAACAAATTGAAGCCAAACTCCAGATAGCATTTACAGCAATAGTTTTGGTCTTTTTGGGTTAAAGGTTTTACATGAATAAAAGCTGATCATTGTAAGCACTCCTGTCAATGTTAAATGGTTTGTCTCAACCCCCTAACTGCTTCATCTGCAGGACAGCTTGTTCTGTTGAAAAACAACAGACCTACTGGCTAGATTACTAGGTGAAAACAACAGCAAGCATTAAAAAAAAACATGCAACACATCTAGCAGTTGATGTGATGATATAAACAGGAATTTATTCCAACTAAAGGAATGCATTTTATTTGTTAATTCCAAGTTTAAAGCCTAACACCAAAAAAAAAAAGAAACAGAAAAATCAGTGCAAGGGCCATAATGCACAGTCAGTAGGTTTTTTCCCTTGTGCTGATGCCTCTTTTGTTAAGGAAATCCTCCCCTATCCATGCCTTTCCACCCACTCCACCAAAATCTTCCAGTGTGGTTAATGGACCTGTGGGAGATGTGACAAGTTCTCATCAGGAGAGCCCAACTATTTTTTAGACCAGATGCTCCATTCATAGATGTCATGCTACAACTATGAATGGAGGATGGGCAGATGATAGAAATCTCTGTCCCCATATACAGTATTACTACATTAACCTAATGGTGTTAGGTGCAACATGGCTTTCAGGCCATGCTCCTTGAATAACCTTATCAATATTTGCTATGATACAATGGTTGTGACAGTGAGGAAACTATTTTGTTTAATTACCTAATGTAATTTCTTTATAAGGCCTTCAGTTTTGGCACAATGCCTCCTTTGTTTTCACCTAAAATAAAGATAAGGGGTTAATACTTGCCTGTTCTGTGCATTGGTATTCCATAGAGCGGACCCTTACCTCCATCTCTAGGGTCCCCCGCTGCTGCTCTCCGCTCCTCCTTTACTATGTCTTCCCCCATAGCAAGCTGCTTGCTAATGGAACAGACATAGGATCACTCCGAAGCCAGCCCGTGTGTGTCTATAGACACACGCAGCCCAGCTTGGCCCTTCTCCCTGCTTACTTCTCACTGTATTTTGAGAGCAGCAGGGGCCTATGGATTCCACTGCTATCAATCTGCCATGTGAGACCAAGTAGAAAGATCAGCACTGCTGCAGACGGGCACAATGCTAGATCGATACAGGATTTAGGTAAGTATTTAGGGGCTAGGGGGAAGAGAAAAAATATAGTGGAATGTTTTAAACTTGAATGCTGGCTGTGCATTCAGGTGAAAAACCTTGTGACGTTCAAACCTCTTTAATTTACTGTTGTGCCAGATCAATCACCACTGTATTAGGATAATGTTGGATAAACAGACGGAAAATGCCAGTTATTATTTTTACACTCCCGACAATATAGATTTAGTTTCCAAGGCTCGTGCTGTGCTGTTGCTTGGTTTTGTATAGTCCCCCCTAGGGTACAATATTTATTATTAATGTGAAGACTGCAATGCTGAATGCCAATGCTAGTCAAGATAACTTTTTAATGATTCTTGGGAAAAAGAAAAGTCATCTTAAGATGTTGTGTACTGTATGCTATTCTGTTATTTTTGTTTCTCGTACTAAATTTACATTTTCTGGTTGTGAATATCAAATACTGTTCCCCCTCAGTTAAACAATGATTTTTATTTATGGGTTTACACCCCCTTTTTTAATACTTTTTATATTAGGGTATTAGAAACCATCTTTCTTTACAAAGGAAGAAACATCCTTACATTATTTTAGGAAAAAGAGGGAAATGGGCAGTCTTGCTACAGCATGTTCTCGTTGCAAGAGGAAAAGTGAAAATGGTCATATGATTTAGCAAAAATATGATTGGCTTGGCAAAATGTCGCAAAACAGAGTTAATTACTAATATCTTAGAAAATGCTATTTCTCAAGGGAACGTGGAGTGGAGGACTGGTCAAGTCAGTAGGATATTAGCGGACAGCATTAGCCACATTTGAAGATACCTTCAGTTTAGCCCTTACTGTTTTATTTGCAATGGAGAATATGTGCGCCTCCTAGCCACTTTTCGTGATGAGATCATAAGATTTTTTATTCTTCATGCTTATCAACTGTATTGGCTCAGCAGGTGTTACTGCAGGATTTAACGTAAAGGCAAATTACATCTCTTGACAGCTTCTACTTTGAACTAACTCATTTTGCTATCTGTTTTTTAGCAATATGAAAATTGAGAGCATTTTGAGGTGCATGCACATGATCCTAAATTTTTTATGTTTTTTTTTTTTTTTTTTTGTATGTGCCAAACACTGGCTCTTTCCCACTTTAGTCAAATGAAATAATGTGCTACATACTTTATAGTACCTTTTATGGTACTGGTTATGTCATAGTATATGAAGATTATAATTAATTATTATTTTACTTATAGGCAGTTGGGACTGGATTTGGTTCCTAGGAAAGAATTTGCCATGGTGGATCCAGAAGAAATTAGTGTTACTGAATTATATCGATTGGTAAGTTGATATTCGTTAAGGATACAAACACTCTTTGTGATTGGAAACCTCGTTTTGCTTCTATTTTTTTTTTTTTTTAATCCATGCAGGATTGGGGTACCTGGGGTCCATCAGAGAAGTGAGACCAAAGGGCTCAGCATCAGGTGGCACTCGCAGCCTGTCATGGCTTAAATGTGGGTGTAGTTTACCATGAAGCAGTGTGGTTAAAGTGGTTGTAAACCTCAGACATGAAATAAGAGCAAAGCATATCCCTCTATAAGGTGTACTTGTCTCAATTAAGAGAAGTAAGTGTCATTTCTGTCTGCTGCTTCATTCCTCAGCTATTGGCATGAATCACTTTTGACAAGTTTTAATGCACGATAACATAGTTACAGCAAGGCAGCGTTTTGGAAGGACCCCTTTGTCAGGCATGTGACGGTTACATGCCTGATGAAAGGGTCCTGCGAGACTCCAAAATGTTGCCTTGTTGTAACTATGTGATCGTTCATTAAAACTTTTAGACCCATATTGGTGATCCTCGGTGACATTCTCCATTGTTAATTTCCGCTCTCCATCCCCTTTTTTCTGAACTCTCATACAGAGTTTATAAATTCAGCACTTTGAATGGATGTGGAGCAGAAAAGAATGCAGATACAGGCACATCTTATGTGGGAGGATTTATGTCTTCTCTGTGTATCACCTGAGGCCTGTCACTTCACTGGGTATATGAAAGGGTTTACAACCACTTCTTAAATAAGCACTACTGGTAAATAATGCTTATTTAGACAGTACAGGAAAGTAGAGACTTTTTAAGAAAAATGTATTTTGATCACGAAAGTTAAATTTTTTTTTTTTTAGTAGCATAGTTGCTGACCATACCTGAAATCCACTGTTATTACTATTACAGGAGACTTTTTGAAGCAGCTATCATGTAAAAAAGTCTGTGAGAGACTGATCATATGATAATGTACATCATTGTTTTCCAACTAACATAGAAGTTGTTCTGCAGACAGTCCAAGCCAAGCTGATTTACCAATGTCAACACTATATTTAAAACACTTGGTAGCTCCAAAGCAAATAAACCCGTGACTACACATAACTAGCTTTATGAAACACTAGCAGAAATAAAACAATAATATATCACATCAGGTAATGTATTCAGCAAGATTACAGACAGTAGTTATATACAGTCACTTACTGTACTCTAAGGCAGCTTTTTTCAACCAGGGTTCCCAGGCACCCTGGGGTGCCTTGAAGTTTCTTCAGGGGTGCTTTGGCAAAATGTCTAAAAATTTCCCAAAACTTGTATACAAGCCAGCAGGTGAAACAAGCCTGCCATTTAGTTACACAAAGCCACAGGTTTTCATTGTGCACCATTACTACCTTCTAGCTGCTGGCATCCTGACAACCAATGACATCATAAGTTGAGAAGGAGGATGTCGGCTGCCTGTACAGCATCCTGGTTTGACCCTCCCCTGCTCCTTTTCATCAGTGCTGGGGTCACATTAGCCTAGTCATGGAGAAAAACTGAGGGAGAAGAGAAACACTGGAATACTACTCAGTATCCGTGTATACAAAAGTGTATTTGCTTTGGAAGTATAAATCACCTCTAATGTTGGGTGACCTACGTGTGTGGATGTTGCTGCATTGTATAAAACTATTAGAATAGTTTTCACATTTTAGAATGGGGTGCCTCAAGACTGTCCATAATTTTGAAGGGTGCCTTGAAATTTGTCTATAATTTTAAAGGGTGCCTTGACTGAAAAAAGGTTGAGAAATAATGTTCTAAGGTCATGTTTTTTTTTCTTTTTGTTGCGTTCCCCTTTGTGTGTCTCTGTATGTATATCACCTGTGTCTTTCACTGACAGCACAGCTTTTTCAAGGTATTCAAAGCTTCATAAAAGCTTCCACCTACTTAGATAACCACCCCCACTATCCCAGACTTCTTGGACCAACTACACAATCCACACATACTCTCTCTTGACCAGTAAATCCTCCACTGACCCTTTTAAGATCCACAGCCTGTACCATGGGAGATATATTTACTCTCCAGGCCACAACCCTTAAATGTTGTATTATTTACATTAATTGTATACGTACCTCATATACTAGTGTGCACCCTCAGGCATGAGTAAATTTGTGGTGCGGGGGTCAGAAACAGCAGATGCTTAAGGAGCAGAGAAAATGGGTGGGATAACAGAAAAGGATCTATATGTGTCCCAAGTTTAGCATTAGAGACCACATTATGCAGAAAAGGACACATTTATATACTGTATGTATATGTGTGTGTGTGTGTGTGTATATGTGTGTATATATGTATATATATATATATATATATATATATATATAATATATATATATATATGTGTGTGTGTGTATATGTATGTGTATATGTATGTATATATATGTATATATATATATATATATATATATATATATATATGTATGTATGTGTGTGTGTGTATATGTATATATATATGTATATATATATATATGTATATGTATAACATTTGTTTGTTGCTGACTAACTGGGTAGTGTGCTGGGTTATTTTTTGTATTTGTTTTTTTTTTAATACAGAACTCATTCTTTACAGCAGGGGTTCCACATTTTCTACATAAAGTGTCAATTTATTATCCTTCAGACTTTGGAGGGACTGGACTGTGGCTAGTAGGAGTAGAAAATGTCCTGGGTGTCGGTAACAGTGGTCCATCATTGGTGATAGTGAGAGGAATAGTGCCCCTTCATTGGTGTCAGTTGGAGGAAATAGTGCCCCATCATTGGTGTCAGTGGGAGGAATAGTGCCCCATCATTGGCGTCAGTGGGAGGAATAGTGCCCCTTCATTGGGAGGAATAGTGTCCCTATCACTGATGTCAGTGGGAAGAATAGTGCTCCATCACTGGTGTCAGTGGAAGAAATAGTGCCGCATCACTGGTGTCAGTGGGAAGAATAATGCCCCATTGTCCAGATAAAGGCAAGCAAAGGGCAACAGTTTGTAGACTACTGTCTACAGCACTAGCATTAGTGTCACAAAAGGTGTGTTTGCAATTCAGGCATTTCCAGAATCAAGCTATGTTGAAGTAGGGTTACATGGACTTCTCTTTGTCAGGAATTATTTTTATTACAAGAAAAAATTCCAGCATTCTTGGTTTGAGTTATTTCAGTTAGGTATAAGGGAATAAAGCCTTTATGGTGTGATTGTCCATGTGCTGAGTGTATTCAATTTAAGATTAAAAATAAGGTAGTTCCCAAACTGTGCGAGTTTGAAAATGTGTAGATTATCTGTAATATCTGCCTGTCTAAGGCCGCTGTGATGGGTATGTAGACTGGGGGCACCCTTGAATGTGAAAGAACTAATCTGATTTTAAAGTTACCTGTATGCATGAGATGGGAATCAAGAGACAGTTATCTGCTACGATTGGGGAAAAATAAACATTCATTTTTGTCAGCTGTGTGTGCATATTATTGCACTACACAGATCTCAGCAGTGGTCCTTTTTGGGTACATTTACATTGTTCCTAACTCTCTGAGGAGTGCAGAATCTCCCCCCCCCCCCCTTGTTATGGAGAAGATAAGAGCAGGAGGTATTCTGTAGTCCTTTCCTAGGGTGAGAAAATATAAATGCACCCACCATATCTTTAGACTAGTAAGCTGCGATATATGTACATTCTGATCTCAGGTTTAGATATAACATATACATGTTTCATTTTTTTTAAATTTGTAAATGTGTCAGAGCAGGCATTAGTTGAATGAAATAAGATTTCTTTTCATGGGAGCCATAGGTTTACCTTTTCACCCTTGATATTTTACAGATGGAACACAGACATAGAAAAAAGGACACCCCAGTACCAGCAAGTAGTCACCATCTTTTTGTGCAGATGAAAAGTTTAATGTGCTCTAACCTGGGAGAAGAGTTAGAAGTGATATTCTCACTTTTTGACAGCAAAGAAAATCGACCAATAAGGTAACTCTTTCAGATATTTTGGTGGGGAGAGTTATGGCATATATCACTTTAATTTGCTTGCAATAATAAATGACTACAAATTTTAAATCACAGCTAACTGGTTTTAATGCTTATGTGAACAGTTAGAGTGATTTGCTCTGCTAATGTAACACTGCTAAATAATTGGTTTTGTTTGAAAAATTTAAGTAGTGTTGCAGTACAGTGTAACCACACTGCATACAGAATTTATGTTTGGGGACTTTCAGCTTTAAATTTGCATGGGGTTTTTGATGTTGGCAATTAATTTTTCCTTTCAGTATTCCAAAAAGAGGTAGTTCCATACTACTGCTTGTGTCATAGTGCTAATGCTGAATCTGACAAATTATTTTTTTTGTGTAAAATTTGTTTGTGTTTTATGTATAATTTATTTATTTTTTTAAATATCATGTATTTTGTTTGTTAACATTTTGACAAATGAACAGCATCTGCTTATCCTGTTTTTCATTACTCAGTTTGAATTGTCCTTGTTAATATGTGGTATAAAAATATAACCACAAATTAATATTTGCCCATGAACTGAGAAAATGTACCTCCCAACGTTCTGTAAACCTGTTTCAAATCTGGGCAGTGCTAGAAAAAAAAGAATTAAGGATTATATTTAATAATATCCGCATATCAAAACAACAAATACATTTTGCTTTGGCCTCTCTCCGTTCTAAGTCTCCCTATTAGTTCTTTAATGTGATAGGTAGGCTCGCTGGCCAGTAGGATGGTTACAAGGGGCAGGGACATTTTTATCCCTTACTAAAGTTTTCTTTACCACAAACCACAAATTGAGTGGTTTGGTTGTCTTTGTTGTATGTTTATGGGGAAGACCATTTTGTTAGAGTGGAGCTTTAGTGGGGAGTGGCTACAGCAGATTTTACCCTCCGCCAGTGATGTGAGGTCTGTGCACTATGCTCCCACTTTTCTCACCGCTGCTGCCATCATATTTTGTTTTTCCTCCAGTGTCTGCTTTCTTTGGTCATTTGGCTGTCACTAAGAATATAACTTCTACACGTGTATGCTGGATTTTCATTGACTGTTTTCACCATCTAACAGATGCTGGGAGTGGGCCATGACTGTGCCTTGCACTGCAGAGACATAGACATGCAAATTCACTTCTACCTGCTAGAAATTTATTTTTAACAATAACTGGCTGCTGAACCAGCCGAGATTCAATCCATCTATGGGTGGCTTTAGGCTCTATGAGATAAATGGATTATGGCACACAGGAGTTATCCATGTGAGCCCAGCAAATCACACATATAAATGCATTCACTTATGGAGTTGTTACGTTTTGTCTAAAGTAGCCAACTATTCTAAACTTTGAGGATCCTAAGAAAAGTCAGGGAAGTCTATATTTTAATTGGTTTTAAACCAACTGCTTCTTGCATTATACATTTAAAACATAGAATATCAAAGCTTTGAACATTTTGCACATGAAAGCAAAAAAGTTGCGCAGCTACTGAAAGCCAAAATGCCTCAATGTATTTTCTTTTCTTTTCCCCTGATAATCTTCTGATTTAATTTCTTGACATGGTGATCACTCCATGCAGTCATTTCTCCTTTTCACGTTCACATGGAATCTGTTGAGCATTACTGTGACTCTTACAGATAGCAAATCTTCTTACGTTTATATATTGACACACCTTTTGTTTTTTTTTTATAAGGCAATGCAATATACAGTGTGTTTTGTATTTCTATCTATCTAATACACACACACATTATTATCAGTGAGTGTTAAAGATTAAAGTAACTGATGTGCATGAATGTAACCATATTTGCATGCAGTTTCTACTTGGCAGAACTTTTCTTGCATCCCCATGTGTTAAATGTCTGCCCTATGCAGTAAGCGTATACTTTTAATTACAACAGTCATTACAATTAATCTGCGAAGATAAAAACATGGACATTGGTGTTAGCAACCTGCTTTGTTGTAATCTCTTTTCCACTCATGCTATGTCATAGATGGTGATCCGGCACCAATCCGCGTGGTTGTCAGTCATGTGATGGGCAACTGTAGTAATCGCGTATCTTTATGCCTTGAACAAAAAGTATCAATATGGCACCAGCAGTTGGCAGGTTGTGGCTGTTAACGTGGTTGTAAAGGTTTTTTTTTTTCTTTAAATTAACAAACATGTTATACTTACCTGCTTTGTGCAATGATTTTGCACAGAACAAACCCTGATCTTCCTCTTCTTGCCGCTTCTGTCCCCTCCCCCTTGCTGAGAGCTCCCAGAGCCGCCTCTGTATGTATGCGCGTGGTTCAGTTCCACACCCATGAGGGATGAGGGGGGAGCTGCACCTTTTTTACTTTCATGCATGAACATAAAAAACCTTCAGCTTTTGGAACCACTTTAAAGTTATAAACGGACTGTAAAAAATATACAGCAGTTCAAAAAGTTTATTTTAATCGTTGTAAGAATGCACACTTAAGTGTAAACTGTATGTTTTCACATTTATCCATGTGTCAACTTATAATAAAAAAATATCTGCTCAGGGTAGTTATTAAAATCATGTACCAAATAAAAATTCTTTAAATGTAAACATTTAGTGAGGCAAATTAGTGGAAAAGTTGTAGTGAAGGTTACCTATTGTGTTTACTGGGTTATATAGGTATTATATGTATTAATTTCTGGTTAGGAAAGAATAAAGCAACAATTTTCTAGGCTTTTAGCAAGTGCAAACTTAACTGCTTACTGAATGATAAACAGTAAATAAGTGTGCTGATTATATGACAAAGTTACACAGTTAAATAGATTTAAGTGCAATATACAGTACATGTTGTATCTGTAGAATGCCTATGAGTGCTAATGGTATGTTAAGATGCCCCATCATAAATACTTGGTCACGATGCCACAAAATGGTTCCATAACTATGGTAGACATCTACAGTATATTTCCAGAAATAACCCTTGGATCAATTTAAATTGTCCTCCGTCTTTTAAAGTTCTAAAATTGAATTTTTAAATTCATAATTTTAAATCGTGATATTATATGAAATATTTAGCTTTGATAACATAATGTGCTTTAAATTTCTAGTCTATTATATTCTATATATGGAATCACTTTCCTCCTGGATTATAACATTAGTGAACTGTATTTAGTTACAAATGAACCCTATAAGAGGAGCTGGCTTTGTAAGACATAATGCTATTACTGCATTGTTACATGTTGCTTAATTTGGTTTACATTTTTCTGTTCTTTGCAAATGCAATTGCCATGCTGGTAGGCTAGTAATTAAAGGCTGTGCACGTGTCAAGAATTCTGCTGTACCAAAGAAGCTGAGGCGTGCCAGCATCCAAGTAACTTTTTACATTGCAGATTATAAGTATTAGAAGTGAACTGTTAGCAGCCCACTGATGTGAAAAAAAAAAAAAAAAAAAAAACAAATAAAAATTGTGTGACTGCTGTTTTAATTGGTGACTTGTGTCTTGTTTTCAGTTGCCTAGCAGTGCTGTCAGTGTTTGCAATGGAAAGCATTTATGAAAAAGGGCACTCTGTTGTGAGGTTTTAATCATTGCTTGTTGTCAGACTGAGAGGAACCCTTCATTTGCTTCATTTTAGTCTCAACCACAGGTGAATGACTAAAGTGAATGTACGTAGAGTTCTCAGTGTGCTCTGCAAGTTCTCTGCAAAGTATTTTTCCAAGTGGCCGCTTCTTTACCTAGGTTTTCTTTGTATATATGACATATAAACTTCTTCTGATAAGGGAATGATCAACAACTACCATATCTTACCAGATTATTGTTGTTTGTAAAGTACAGTAACCAATAACAGCTAGTTTCATCCTTAAAGAACTACTCCAGGAATTGCAACACTGTTAAAGTGTGCTGGCTTATGATGGTTAGGTCCAATGAAATATGTCACCTCATGGATTTACCTCTTTTTATTAACAACTTACTTTTTTGCTGAGCATCAAAAGTAGTAAATAAATCATTATTCTATTCAATACATGTCATTGACTTTAGGCTTCAATTTGCCGAATCTCAGCAGCCTGGGTCACTTGGGTCATCCTGGTGTAGCAGGGCTATGAAATGTAATTGAATTTGTTGCTACAGTCGAGCCTATTGAGGCCTATATTAAATTGTTTGTGCTAATCATATCAAGATCATTGAATACTATGCCGTCTTTGAGGCAGTTCTGTACTGTATGTTTGATGCACCCATTGAACTGTATTGTTTCTGAGTAATGTTATAAAAACATGCAGTCTCAGAACATCTTGGGCTAGGGCCAGTCAATGGTTAGCTACATTTTGCAGCTGCAGTTATAATAATGAAGTAATTGTGCTTGTCCCTAAAGTATAGTTTTAGCTAAAATACTATTATATACAATATATAAAATGGTTAAAGCAGAACTACACTGCATCGGATCACCACAACCCAAAAATGCTGTTTTAATTCGTTTTTTAATATTCAGAGCAAACTCATCCATCCATATCTCCATGTATTACCTTGCTGAGGAATCTCTTTGAAAAACACTCCCTAGCATTTCTGGCCATGACAGATGATTCATGTAGCATTTACTGTAATTCCTGTAATCCATCTGCCTTTAGTTTAGGCATGCAGGCAGGAGGGAGTGCTTATCTGAGAGAACCCCTCCTCCCCTACTGAAGACTCCTGAGATGAGTGCTTAGGCTAGGAAACAAGGAAGTAACTGAAGAAATGTAAAAAAAAAAAGTTTTAAAACAAGTAAATATGATATACTTTCCTATCTATTTGCTAATGTTAGCAGCATAAGAATTACAAATAGTTAATTGATTGAGAGATTGAAGTTCAGCTTTAATTGTTGCACATGTTTTTTTTTTAAACAAAACACCTTAAAATAATGAAAAACAAATGTGTTAATTGTAACAGGACACAAGATCAGAATCTTAGACCATAGGTTATGCTGCTGCCTTGGGTGATTAGACACTGGAAAAGTGTAGGGACAGCCTACGGACGGACATCTTTTCTCTGCTCTGAGAGAAGCAAAGCTACT